AGTTAAGGAATTAAAAATTTAGAGACAAAAATGCTGGGCACTGTAGTTAACCTAACTCTTAGCCTCTTGTACATGTGTAACCAAGCAGCTGAGAGTTAGCAGGGCTGAAAATTGAAAGAATTAAGCCTATCTGTGTGTGTATTTTTCTTTACGCAGAGCAAATTTCAAGGGCAATTTAGGAGAGGGAGTATTTCCTCACATTAAATAACTACCTACCAAAAAGGCAATGTTACTTCTCAACCAACTTTTTTTTACTTTCTTTCTTACCTTTAGGGATTGAAGGGGCAGGTGCCTGCTTTGTAATATTGCTGGCCAGTGTAGTTATTCTTACAATGTTCCCAAGGAAAGCTGTATCAAATAAAAAAGGAGAACTTTGCATAGCGATAGATCCTCTCAGGTTACTAAACTTATCCACTATCCTAAATTTAAGGTTGGAGGATTAATAGTACTTAAAGGAGGACACATCTACCCCTTTTACTTCCTTTTTGTCCTCTTCTCCTTCCTCCAGTAACCTTAGGTAACCCATTTTTCTTAGCCAGAAGATGAACTTTACACTCTGAATCTCAGTGAATGCGGTTTTCTTAAGTGATGTTTTGCAGCGTGTAGTTTTGGCAGATGAGGACAATAAAACAAGCAACAGCAATGTTTCTGGAGGGGTGTCAGCAGTCAGGGCTCTCAAAAATTATAGGTGGGCGAGCGTGTGCCCTGAATGCTTCTAAACCATGAGAATTTCTGTTCTTTAATTTATAGCTTGGTAAAACGATGTCATGTATGAAGCTATTAATACCATTAATGTGTGTGCAAGTATGAATTCTATGTTAACATGTAAGTGTTAATCAGTTGACACTTTAAAAGTATACACAGAAATACATTATGGTCCCTAAAGGCTGCCGTTTAATCTGTCGTAACTTTTATACATGTTTTCTAAGGTTCTTAAAGTTTAGAAGATCTTTAGAAATACCAGTTTTACTTGTTATCCCAATTGTTGGCCTTATAATTATTACTCTAAGATGTGTCAAATATGTCATAGCATATTAAGATACAAGCAGTGTGTTCTTTTAGGGTGTCTGACTAAAAAATGATGCAAATAATCCTATGCCTCATAGTTTCTTACATGAGACAATGATGAGATTTTCAGAACTGAACAGGGGTTATTCGGTACCTGTGTTGGTTGAATGCCATTTGCTGAAACTCCTTCTCCACCTCACTTTTTAAAATCTTGGCCAATATAATTAGTATTACATAGTATTACAAAAATGCGAGAAATTCTTGCATTTCAATACTTTAGGCATGCAAGAAGTCATACCTGCTAATGTTAACGCAGTCATTCTTATGTGCCACTAACTAATACTAAAATAAATATTTGCCAAACAGTGTCACATTGCTTGATCACATAACCTGAACAGCGGTTTTTCGTGATACATAGGGTGGAGTGAGGGTTATTTTTCTTAGCTATAAAAGAATACATTGCTACTCCATTAAGGACTTAATACACCTTTGCACTTGGCTTTATCTTCACGGTAAATGCAAACAGCGAGCATGAAATGCGTTATGGTTCCCTTGGGAAAGCGAGTGAATGCCTGCTGTTGTCAGCACCCATGTAGCTTTGTCACTTTGTCATCGTTTTATCTCTTCAGAAGCTGGGCGAGTCAAATTACTGTGGATTTCTGTGTAGGAACAGGTGGGATTTGATCCCATTATCCCTTCTGTTTCTAGCATGCATTCCATAGGAACCACGCAAGACAGGGACCAACAGAACAATGAGGGCGATAGCAGGCAGAAATTTAAAAGGGTGGCTCTTTTATGCATCTAAACAGATATTTAATTTTAGAGTCCAGTATGTCCAGTGGCTTGAGCAAGAACTGGTCTTTTCTCTTGGCCGATTCCCAGTATGTGCAGATGTAGTTGGGTGTATTTGGGTGGTTTAAATGATAAACAGTGTAAATATAATTCTCTTATAACATACGCACAAAGCTCACAATATCGAGACATTCTTCAGTCTAAATTTAGATTTACACTCAAACTGCAGGTAATACTCAAACAAACACAGCAGAACAGTAAGTATGCACAAGCATGAAACGTCTACCTCGCTGCTTTGTCAGAGCCACGCTGATAAAATTCTTCTTTGGGGCTATAATTCTTCAGTCAGCCAGAAGTGGTTGTGCTCAAAAGAAACCACTGTGTGGGCGAACTTTTCTTGGCTATTCTTGGAACAATACGTTTTTAGATGAAGTCAGTTTTATTTTAAAAGTGATATGTAATGGTTGTGTTCCCAGGTCAAAATGTAAATAACTCATCAGTAAGATTGTAAGTGTAATTTATTTGAGTTTATTTGAGGTGAGTTGGAGGAAAACTTGAAGTATATCACAATAAATAGGGGTGGCAATAAAATACAGATTAACTCTAAGTTTTTTTTTTGCAGGCTCAGGCTTGAATTCCCAAAAAATTGTTCCTGGAACTGAGAAGGGATTATTATGTTCCTGTGTCTATCCATATCCACCTCTGCATGCATCGCATACTCTACCTTCCTACTGCATTTGAACGCATTGTGACGGACATAAGCTACTAACAGATTTGTTTGCGTAATTTGCAGGATTATGGAAATCAGGAGTGTATCCCTTCTAGAATGTCTTAAAATTAATCGCATATATGTTGGGCACACGTTAGTTCCCTTGTACAGTAGGAATATCTGGCTTGTGTTTCCTGCTGTCAGCACCTGCTGAGACTTTGAGGGCACATCTGTACTACTGCAGCAGGAGACGTGGGTTGCAGCGAGAAAAATCCTGATGAGATAGTAGGAAAAATTACTCACTGAGAGGATGGGAAGCACTGGGACAGAGTCCCAGACTGGCCATGGAGTCTGCATCCTTGCAGACGGTAGAAACTGGCTGGAGCAGGCCCTGAGCAACCTGATCTGACATCAAATTTGGCTCCACTTTGAGGCGGGGGGTTGGACCAGATGCTCTAAATAGAGGAGGACCAAGGAACAAACCTTGTTCTTGAGACTGATGGTAGAACCTGGTTTGCATCCACATTGCTCAGACCTAACCATGTCTTACCCCATCGTGCTTGGACCTGGGATTCCTCCAACCTCAGTGTGATGTTCTTCAGTCCCCAAGATTTTTGTTTTGGGTGGGTGGTTGTGGTTTTTTTTCCAGTTCTCCTGCCTGAAATAATCTAAGGGGAAGTCCCCTAGAGCTGGGTTTACAGGACGAAGCTGTTTTCATGCCTGAGGGTGGGAGAGTGTCGACGGACCAAGCAGGGTGGACAGAGCCAACCCAGGGGCAGTCTCATCCGTTCTGGGTTTGGAGCAGTCCCTGAAGTAAACTATTTCTAGAATTACACTTGTTTTTTTCTGGCAAAGGTTAAGGTAAACCAGTCTAAAACCGAGCCAAGAAACATGCTAATGCTTCAGCAAAGGCTCAGTTGGGACTTGGGTGCTTGAGTCCGCTCCTGGGGCATGCTTTTCTAGTGCCGTAGACATAACCTGTGTTTTCTTGTGTTTGCCAAGTAACTGTGCTAGGAGTTTGTTTTCTGGAGCATGCTTCCTTAGAGATTTAAAAACTAGTCTTCTGCACGGCTACTTGTGAACCAAGCAAATGTGGGAGTAACTTGTGTTTGCGGGGTAAAAGGCTAGTTTGGGATTTGTTCTTGCAGTGGCAATATCAAGAACTGGATGTCCTGGTGTAGGACATGCCTCTCCTTTGAAATAAGCAATGCAGCATAGGTGAATGTGTTAGATAATACAGGATTGTCTCTTTTGCGGGAGGAAGGTGTTGGTTAGAGACAGTTTCCTCATTTTCATTACTTGCTAGGTTAGGAATGGATAGTTAGCGTTGCTCATTTTAGAACGATCATTTGGAAGTCATCTGACTGCCGTAGCTGATAGATGTGCCCACATCAAGCTATGCAAAAAGATCAAGTACTGAGACTTTGGAGGAATTTCGACCAAACTGATTGTAATGAGGAACTAGGTTTCTGCCTGTAGATGGACATGCAGTAAAAGCCAGTCCTTTTGGTTCCTGGTCACGCTTGGTGCTTCTCAGCTGAGACACGTACATTTGGACGTATGTATTAAATTGCCAGCTCATCCTTAAATAGCAGCCTTCAATGAACTGTAAATGCAATGCAGAACGTGCTGTAGCCAGGAATTTGAGGAAGGAGGAATTCCACCCAACAGAACTGCTGAGACTTGAAAATCTAGCTAGATTTTCTTCTGGCAACTTCAAAGCCAGCAGGTCTCTCTAAATGCAGGCTCTGGAATTAATACAGCAGCTAATAAAGGGTTGTCGTTCTCTTCAGTAGCTCACAGGGTCTGTAGAGCTAACAGGGTTGTACTTTGTTATACGCAAGAAAATGAATAGATACTGCTGAATAAAGAAGTTACTAACTAAAATTCTGCTTTTGCTATGGTTACATCAATAAAGGGCAACAGCCAGTATACAGATGGTCTGCTGAAGTCAAGCTGCTTGAGCTCATGCTTTCCCTGCTCATGCCTACCACTAGTGATATCTCATTTCGTTCATTGTTATGATGTTATTTCATTGACATTTTGAGGGAACCGTGTACTCTAAATAAATACATAGCTTGCCTTGCTTAGAGGAATTTGATGCCCTACCTAAAACTAATACAGATATATCATTTTACAGTGCGTCCTCGCTCCAGGGAGTTAACAGTGTGGGAGAGAGGAAGGAAACAGATCAATTGGTGAGAAGTAAAGCTTGAGCAAATTTAGAGGCTGTCCACCTCGGGACTTTCTGAGTTACAATTAATTTTTGAAAGTCTTGAAATTTATTTATTTGAGTTCACAGATTCACGCTGCCTTAAGGTGTGCTAGCTCACAGTGTGGGAAATTCAGGCCAGGAATTACCTGCTGCCAATAAACTGCAAATGGAGGTTGTACGCTTGATTTAATACCAACACCTTTATTTTTCTTTTTTTCTTCCTTTTCTCTTCAATCCTTCCCTCCCCTGGATGTCCCCCGTTCCTTTCTCCCTCAGGCCTGTATAGATGAGAATCTGGACATGGTGAAGTTCCTTGTAGAAAATGGAGCCAATGTGAACCAGCAAGATAACGAGGGCTGGACCCCTCTTCATGCAGTGGCATCGTGTGGCTATCTGAACATAGCAGAGTGAGTGAGTTTCAGGCTTTTCTGGGTATTTATGACGTTTTCCACATCTTCATCTTCAGAGCAAGTACACAGGTGATTGATGCTCTGAGACTTACACAATGTCTTGGGAAGCAATACTGAAAACAGATGCATTTCTCCTGTTACTGAGTTCTTCATTTGTGAGGTCTAAGGTGGAGCCTGCAACTGGTCACCTTTTGCTGATCCCATTACAGTGACTTATGATTCATTAGATACTTCAGCTAAAATGCCAAGCAAAAGGGAAACACGATGGCTGAGAGGCAGGCACACTAATACAGAGATGTGTAATGAAGCACAGCTCTGCTGCTGCTGATTGTCTTTGCTGTGCGCTTCTGTCAGCGGGGAGCCCATGTAGAATTTTAAGTGTTACCTGAGAGCAATTTGGGATTTTATTCCTCTAACTGAAAAGAATTCTGTCTCTGTACAAAATGTAGGTTGGTGTAATTACATGCATATGACTATTCTGGTGTAAACCCAAATAGTAGATACGTGGCGTACTAGAGAACAATTCAAAAGGGGACTGCACCAACACTTACCCTTGTTCTGAGACTTTGCAAAGCAACTACATTTTCTTACCACGGACAGGCCCATGTGAGCGGTACTGCAGTTGTGTGGAGACTTTTGAGAGAGAAATGCAATATTCTGGGCTCTGCAGCCACCAATATACCAACAGCATCATTTCTTTTTCTTCAGATTCAGATCCTATGTTTCTGTTTCTTGCATTCTGTCTGACAAAAGATGGAGAAGTAGATAAAAGTAGCTGCTTGGAGCGTTGTTATCTTTTTTTCTTGATTTTGTTTATAATGCAAGATACTGGGCTTGGTTTGGACACAACCAGGTGAAATTCTGTGGCCTGCTGTAGAGAGATTAGATAATCTAGTGAGTACAAACCTAAAATACAGTTGAAAGAAGAGACAGTAAATACAACAGAGTTTTGTCTAGTAGATATTTAAAGCAAAGCAATAACCTGCTATAAATGACTCCCAACAAAGATTTGACTCTTCTTGGCACAGTATCTGATTCCAGTGATTTAAACAATGTTCTGCGTCTGATTTGAGAGCTCATTATGCTCACAAAGGACAAATAGTCTGTTTGTCCTAGAGAAGATACTAATAGCAGACTACCTGTTGTGCACCAACAAGTTGCTCTGAGACTTTGAGAGTTGCTCAAATATGTGACCTGGAGTGCTAGAATAACTGGAACAAAAGAATAGGCAAATGTGAATTGTAGTTTCCCAGCTGAAATAATTTTTCTGAGATAAAGGCTGCATTATAGGTTAGAAGAATAAGGGAAGAGAATAGTATTTCTCAAGATAGTCCTCTACAATATAGTGTAACAACAACAACAAAAATCTTCTGTGGCTCATTTATTTCTGTGTATAGTACTCCTCCTGGAACAATTCCTAGCTGTTTGGATGATTGTTTATCAGTTTGTTTTTTCTTCTTCCCAAATACTAGTTCTTCAAATGAAAGATGTTATTATTCTTTACCAGTTATATCGTGCTTATATATTTAATCCACTGCAGTTACCAAAAAGTTACATTTAAATACTGATAACTTTCTCAAAGGCATTGAAAAGAAATTTTAAAACGAAGCAACCTCACCCTCCTAGATTTGTGTGTGTAAACAGATACTTCTTTTACTTCCCAGAATTTTACTGATTACAAGATATACAAGCCAAAGAAGACATTAATTCTTCTTGAATGGACTTTTGGTACAGTTAAAAAAAGAAAAAGTAAGAAAATTTATGATGGCTTAGGTTATCTTTTTTAATTCATTTTTTTTAAAACCCATAATCGATCAGATTAGTACAGGAAGTAGGGGTATTTGAATAACTATAGAGAAATAGAAACTCTGAGCCACTGACCCAGGAGCCTTGCATTTAACAAAGAACTTTTTTAGTTCTATAAATTTGATAAGAATAAAGTACTCATTTGGTAATTGAACTTAAATGAGCAAGCCAAATATTTTTGTTCTGCTGCTTGATTTACTGTATAAGTTGCACTGAAGCCTGCACACAAGGTCTAATACATTGGTATGGGTCTCATTCACATAGGTACTTAATTGGTCATGGAGCCAATGTGGCTGCTGTGAACAGTGAAGGTGAAGTCCCATCTGACATCGCAGAGGAAGCAGCCATGAAGGACCTGCTTCTGGAACAAGTAAAGAAACAAGGTAAATCAGTAGTGGGATTGAATATGTCAGAGTTAGACCTCTAAGAGTTTTTATGAGAAAATTCTGTTGGTTTACTGTCTGTAGGTGAAGAGATCTGAAATCTGGTCCAAGAGGCAACAGACAAATTTTGCTTTGGTAGCGGAACAGAGGCAGAAGGTTTGTGGTGTGCAGTATCTGTCCGTACGATTCTTCCAAGCAAGACACCACAGTAGTGAAATCTGATTCATTAGATCTGTTTGCTTTTAAAGTGAGATTTAATTCTGACCTCTGGTATCAATGAAAGGTCTTGTTTCACTAAGACTTGATAATACAGAGGTGAGATTTATGGCCCTGCCAAGACTAGGGACCAGGAAATGATTATGCCTGGGCTGGAGTGACCCGCTTTATCCTGATTCTTTCCTAGGCTGCTTCTGCAGCCCATCTGCTCTGCTATTTCTCCTTTCTCATCAAGTATGCCTGTCTGAGGGGCTGCTCTCTGTCCTGTCCCTGCAAAAACATCACTGGAAACATCTTAGCGAAACTTGTGTTATAATTAAGAAATGCTTTATCAGTGTAAAATTTTCTTCATCCTCATGGAATTCAACTGCAAGTGGTTAGGCATCTGTACATATGCATGAGAAGTTTAAATCCTATCTATGAAGTTCATCAGGAATGTTTTTTTCAGGAGGCATTCATCTCAACTATGTAGGTAGTGTTGAACTGAGACAGATTGAGCTGATATAGACCAGACTATCCACACTGGAGATATAGGGACTACTTATTTAACCTTGAGAAGAGAGGATTGAGAGGGGGATCTAATTGCTGTCCTCCACTACCTTGAGGGAAGATACAGAGGCAATGGAGCCAGAGTCTTCTCAGAGCTGCAAAGTGACCGGATGAGAGGGAAAAGTCATAGGTTTGAACATGGGACGTTCTGGAGATATATAGATATGTGGAGAGAGAGAGAGATGTATATAATATATGGGGAAAAGTGTTTCTCAGGAAAGTGGTATGGTGTTGGAAGAGGGACCCAGGGAATTTGTGAAATCTCCACCATTGGAGGCGGTCAAAACTCCACTGCATTCAGCTCTGAGGAATTTGGTCTAGGTTTGAAGTTACTCTCGTTTGAGCAGGGATTCGGGCTAGAGAGCCCCAAAGATTGTTTCCAGTCTAGATTATTTTATGACTGCAGGTTGGTGTTGGGGTTGTTTACGTACTGGATTGAATCCAGTCCTCTCTAACATGTATTCTGCTTGGCACACGGTGGTTAGTTGTTTTTGAAGCTATTTTCAGGTATAGTTGGGAAGAGATTAGTCGGTTGCTACTTTGTCAACCATGTTACTGTTCCCATGATGAGTTTATAGCTGTCCATCTGAAAGCTACTTGTTATTTGTATTGCTGTTCCTCTTGGAAGATTGATACAGGATCATGTTCCTTCTGGTAAATAGAAACTTTTCATTTTCTAGTCTAGTGGTATTTGTGACAAGGTTATTCTTATTTTGTTCTCATTTCCCCTCCACTTCAAATAAGCTTCAGTAGCCCTTCTCACTTACATTTAATCTACTCACATATTTGAAAAGAAGAATTGTGTCTATAGTCAGCATTTGTTTTACTGGGCTGTCCAGACCATGCCTGTCTCCTCTCTGCAGTCAGGCTTCCTTGGATGCCCAGAAAGATAGAGATCCTTTCTTTACATCAGTGTAACTTGTCTTTCTTTGAAGTGGGTATCAAGAACTGTACGTGGTAATAACATGGTTGAAACCTTCCAGGACATTAAGGAAGTAATTCTGCCTCAGCTGCAGATATTTTGCCTTACACTTCTTGGGATTCTGCTTGGCTTTTTCATTGCTTCACCACGTTAGCGGCATCCTGCTGACATGCCCAGAAACAACCATCTGTCTCCACCGAGAAGCTTCCCATTGACACAGTTTAAAAGGATCATAACTGCTTGAGTAAATGTGGTGTAAACTTTAAATAAGCGTCCATCCAGCTCTGTAGCCTGTCTTCGACAGTAGCTATAAGCAGAAGCCTGCTGCAAACTGTAACAACAGGACAAGCGTGTGTGATTTCCCTTCCCAAACATTTTCCCAGCCTTCAGCCACTGTGCCTCAAGGAATTCCTGAGCCAGATGGGCTTTCTGTGTACTCATGAATCCCCCGTGGCTTTCTGGTTGACGAACTTGCGCAGTCCTTCTTGGGAACTCCTGGCATGTATAGCATTATGTTCAATAACTACAAATTTGTCTGATCCTTGTTCTGAAACCAGTTGTATTTCTAATCTTTGCAACATCCTCTAGTAGTCGGTTTCACAGTTTAGACTCTGAGTTGATAAGTGTTTTCTTTTGTTCTGTGTTAAACCTCATGCCCCATAATTTAATTGGCAATCACGTCATTCTTACACTGAAAGAACTAATCCATAGGGACAGTTGCTCTTCAACAGCCTTCGTGATTTTTGAGATTTGCCATCTTCTTCATATTTTTTCCTGAGTCAGCAAGCTGTAGTCTGATTAATCTTGTATGGAACTGTATTGGACTTCTGACTGATATTGTCCTTACATGACCTCATTATCATGAAAACTCCACTTACAAAAACAAGTCTAAGATAGTTTTGCTTCGTGTTGGTTTAGCGATGATTGGCACAGCCCATCAGCCAGACCTGCCTGACCTCTCCACACAGTAGCAGTTGTTTCCTAGGGTGGGAAACTTGTGCCTCTTGTTATCAGAAAGTCCCATAGTCCATGTCTCTCTTATACCAGATTTGTGTATTGATGGACTTACTTGATCTGATTTCATCTAAAGCAGGTCTCTTAAGCCATTAGATTAGATTATTTTTTTTGCTTTCTATCCCCAAAATCATTTAGAATTATGTTTTCTCAGAATCTAGTGGTTTACTGCTTGGTGGAATTAACTAAATATTTCTTTTCATGTGCCTGGCACGAATGGGTCTGGTGCAGTACAGAGATCTCCATATGTGCAGCTTGCAAATTGTACTGAATTTTAAGTGACCATACAGTTGGGGTTGTGCTGCTCTTGCAGGAGACATCTTAGGATCATCTCTTCAGATCTTCACTGTAGATTATACTCACACTAGTGTTTAATTCAGTTTGTTAGGCTGTTGTTCATGACTTGGCTATTTCAATCTAGGACACTGCATATTTAGAGCACAATCCTTCCACTCGTAGTTGGATGACAGTTGAGCTAGTAGTTAGGTTTTTGGGGAGTTGATTTGTGTGTTTGGTTTTTTTAAGTCAGACAGCTTTGAAGTCTTTGTCAGTGGTGGAGTAGTTCTCCCAATTCCTAGAAAATGCTTTTGCTGATTTTTGTGGAAGATTACAAAGAAGTTACTACTGTTGTATAGCAAGTGAAACATAGGGTAAGTTTAACGTGTTCATGAGAGCTTTCAGTTGATAATTCCTTTTTCTGTGCTTCACCTTCTCAGGTGTAGACCTAGACCTGGCGAGAAAAGAAGAGGAGCAGCAAATGCTACAGGATGCCCGACAGTGGCTGAACAGTGGGAGAATTGAAGATATAAAGCAGCCTCGAACAGGTGCCACGGCTCTTCACGTTGCTGCGGCAAAGGGCTATTCGGAAGTCATGAGGTAGGAGCTTCTTCCCAGGGCTGATGTGTTGAATTAAGGCTGGTTTTTGTAACAAACACATCTGCCTTTATAGTTGAGAGAAATTTGTTTCATACTGAGATTTTTTTCAGGCTGCTATTTCTCAAGGGGCTCTGTAGGTTTATGTGCCAACCATAGTGGTTCACCTGGAAATATGTAGGGGCTGGAAGATTCTCTTTCATACGTCTACGCCTTTAAAGTGATTAAAGCTTTTCAGAGACTGAGATGTAAATTAGAAGGTCTAATGTTCACTATTGGGGTAATAAAACAGTATGAGAGGATAAAAGTGCAATTTCAGCCTACAAAATGACAATACCTGCTGTAAGACCATCACAAACACTCCAGCAGTTTACATGACCAGTCTAGTGGAAAAATGCAGTGTCCACCTATATCTCACTGTCCCCTGCCCCTTAATGCTACTGCTCCTGCAACAGTCAGCAGCGACAGAGGAATTCCAACACAGAGCAGTTCTGCTTCTACCACCCTGGCACTAACAGGCTTATTATGAACATAAACTTGCCCAATGTAGTGTTTCCTGGCAATAAAGCGTGAGTATTTTTACAGGTAAGGTCAAATTAAGGTTTCCAACAATAAAGCTTTCTTCTCTGCTCTTCATGTATGGATGGAGCTGCCTGTAAACGTCAGCAATGTTACTCTATTGCCCACGATAAAATCCCTTCTGGAAGCATTCATCCATCTTGATCCTAAATTTCATAGTTTTAAGTGGCATGACTGGATGTGTAAGACCTCTTTCTTATCAAACTCTAGTAATTTTGTTGTTCTCCATGTTTCCTATTTGTATTCACTCATTAGAGCTTATAATTGAGTTATAAGCTGTCTGTGCCTGTACCGTGCCCAAGAACGGTAATCTAAAGCAGTTTATGTGGAATAGAAATGTAATCTCGCTTGAATTTGAGGTGTCAGTCCTGTGGACTTTCAGTGGAGGTTTGTATATCTGGTACTGCTCAATGAAGGCTGCATTCACTGTTTGCAGGATGACTTAGTTCTGGACAGCTACTCCTTGGCAATAATTGTTGTAATGATAAACAGATCTCAGGGAGACCTGACATTGTTTCACTCTTGTGTATTTTATGACTACCTTGTAAGTTCAAATACAAAATTTCAGTGACTTAAACCAATGGGGCTGAAAGCCAGGAGCTAGCTAACTCTCAAATGAGATGAGGAATTTGTCTGTGACCATGAGTCTCTTAGCAGCTATGTTCCTCCCTTTTGCCAGCTGGAAAATCAACATAAAGTCAATACCTGATTTAAAATTTCTTTCACAGAGAAACATACTCCTGCTATTGTATGACACTGGTTTATTTAGCACAGTAATGTGTCAATGTGAACCTGCAGGAGTTTCAGAACTGTTGGTGCCATTCTGGAGTTGTGCTGGATTTCCCTTGTGCTGCAGGAAAGTGGCTCTGGATGGTGAAATTTCCCACGACAGAAATTTTCAGTAGCAGTTTTACCGGACTTGCAGAATTCCCCTGGGATGTTCTTCAGTATTTAAGCAACTTGGATAATAGTCAGTTTTGATATGTGAGCTACTCGGTACTTTCATCTGATCACTGGTGTACCAGTGTGCATATGTCTCTGAAGCTTCAGACTACAATTGACTCTCTTCTGTTTGTTTTGTTTTTAAATATTCAAACTCCAGATGCTATGTGATGCTAACGCTGTAGTCTGATAGAGAAGGGAAGTGGGTGGAAGGTGCACAGCAGTAAATGTGATGCGAGGGTATTCCCAGACAGGTGCACTTGGGTAAGATTTGCTTTAACTGTGCAAGGACTAGTCTGCAAAAATCCAAATGTGGGTTATTTGACTTACAAATTTCACATCTGTCAGTCACAGTAACATCACTGCTCCTTAGCTGGCAGTCCTGCTGGCATTGTCTCCTTATGGACTGTTCCTGTGGTGTGGCCTTGTTCTCTGGTAGAACCAAGACTGAGCTGCAGTTACCAAATGTGCTTTTTCAGGCCAGGTTCTGTGCTTGGCTCCTTGTTATGGAGATGACAGTCTGCAGAGATGTTTGTTTAGTGCCTGAGCGAGTCTGGTGGCTCTCATCCTCTGGAGCAGGAGTTCAGACTGGGTCGCCAATGCCAGATTAGAAAGAAAGGTGTTCTCCCAGTTTAGGACACACTGAAAGGCAACCTTTTCAATTAGACACATTCCAGCAGGTTTTACAACAGAGTCACTTTTCATTTACTGCCCTTTTCTGTTACAGTTGCAAGCACATCAAGTGGGATGTTGCTTAGGTGAATAAACAAGTTAAGAAACTACTAGCTTATTGTGAACCGTGCTACCTACTCTGTGGCTCGTACTGTGAACTCTTCCATCTTGAGAAGTCATTCTCGGGTGGGCAGAAATCAATATTGCTTCTTTCCTTAGGCTCTTGATCCAGGCTGGGTTTAATTTGAATGTCCAGGACAATGACGGCTGGACTCCGCTGCATGCTGCTGCGCATTGGGGAGTGAAGGAAGCTTGCTCCATCCTGGCTGAGGCCCTCTGTGATATGGACATCAGGAATAAGCTGGTTAGTACGCACAGATGTTGGCACAACATATGCAGTGTATTTTATAGCCAGGTGAATATCGATTTTTATTGCCTACCACTTGATCGAACACCATGACAAAGTTACACGGTGAGCAGTTCTCCTAGCGTGCGCGCTGAAGCATTTAAAAGCATGAGAAAATAAAGAATCTTGACTGGAGGAAGGGAGAAAAGATTTCAGGTATTACTGGAAAAGATCAGTGATTAATCTTTAGGATCAAGATTGTAAGAAAGGATAGGGGCTAATCTGTGTCTTCCTGTTTTAGTGTAATCCTGACAAATTAAACAACAACAAAAAAGACAGTCTTGGAGTGCAAAAAAGTATGCTAATTAAGGTATAAGGCACTGAAAACTAGTGAACTGTTGAGAAACTGGCAGCTTTAAATCCTTCCTTTTGTACTATATTGGTCATAAAAAGAGAAATTGAAAAATTGACTCAAATTCGTGAGAAATGACTAAAGAAAAGTAGGATGGCAGGGAAAAAAAAAGAAAAGGAGGAAAAAATATTCCTCTTCCCTCCTAATAGTTAGAAGTTTTTCCTTGAGAACCTGTGGATTTTTTCGAGAGCTGACGTGTGCTTGTCCGGGGTTGTTCTTTGTGTTCCCCTCCCTGCTGCAATGCCCAGGCAGTGGCTGTGAATCGCTTCCTGCTGGAGCAGATTCAGTTGTGCCGTGGCTGCTTTTGGCGGAGGAAATGAGGTTGTATATACTTGGAACAGCACCGGGGAATGAAAGCAAGGAAGATAATTTGATAAGAGAAGTATGGCACTGTATGGTTTGAGTGCATCTGCCTGTACTGGAAACCGATGTAAAAGAAATGGCTCTGTGAAAAGGAGCCATTTTAGTGTGGTGAGCATTTTGGCATCCAAAGTACAGGGGTTTGTTTTGTTTGTTTGTTTTAAGTGCTGTCACGTTCTTTTCCAAAGTGTTCAGAATGTGTTTGGGTTTTGTATTGTGCTAGAGTTGAAAAGAAACAGACACAGTTGTATTTGTTGCATTACCTGCTTTTTCCAGCCGAGGGTTGTTACCTTGCTAGGTCAGATGGCCAAGACAACCTGTATTTACTTGATCCCTAGCCGTCAGGTTTCGTTACGTGTTGTTAATTAAATGGTTATGATCGCTTTAGTTATGGTGAAAATGTAACTAACTTCTTGTTTTGTGCCCCAAAGTAATTTCTCTGATTGTTTTATTTTGTAAATCCACGTGGATGTGGAAATGGCTCCCAAATGTTTTGGCCTGCTGATGATTGGCAGCCTTTCAGGATGTTCAAATACACGATGATACAGTAGAACAGGTTGATCGCATTCCTTCTCAGTAGAAGAGTGTCCTTTTTAGAAACCCAGAAACTCAAATATGTTAGTCCTGGCTGTTAGATTTGAGCACCAGCAATCAGGGAACGGCACTTCCATGATTAAGGTTGCTCTGATTGTGGATTGACTCATAAAACTACCATCACTGTCATGTGGCTTTCCCTACTCTGGAGTGAAACAGAGTATGCTACTCAGCATTTGAGGAGGGAGGATGTGGAGCATGTTCACTTTTGTTCTTTACTGGTAAATAGTGCTTTTTTGTATATTACCAGCATACCGTATCAGATATCCTCTTGTCTTCTGTTACTACATCAGGGCCAGACGCCATTCGACGTGGCTGATGAGGGACTGGTTGAGCATTTAGAAATGCTGCAGAAGAAACAGACTGTGGTGAGTTTCTGGCAGATCATTTTCCACCTCTCCAATTACCTTTTCATGCATGGGTGTTCTCTAAGACATATGGCATCAACAGACACAGGAAGCTGAGGCCCAGCGATTTTTTTTTTATATTAGTCATTTGGAATTTTTAATTACACCAATATTTTTAATAGCTAGAAATCTAGAAAACTGATTGACTGCATCAAGAAGGTCAAAAGCGTGCTGACATACAGAATTATGTAAACTGGTAAGGAATGTATAGTTCATCTTTGAAATTGTTATTATTCTGCAGTTCCTTCTGTTAGCTGGCAAGCTCTCTAGCATCAAATGCTCTTTTCTTAATGAGTGATTACCCAAGTCAACTTTGTGTTTGCATGTAAGGAAATATGCTGTCAGTGTTGAGAAAGAGATCTGTCACCATGTCTGCCTTTCTTACAATAGGGAGACTTTTGATTGAGAGAGAAGAAATTATGACCTTCAGGGAATTCTGGACTAAAAAAATTCGTAATTTCAAAACCAGATTAAATTGCCATTTCATAATGCAATGGAGATATTGAAAGGGATTGTAAGCAGAAAGTTGGCATAAAAAAGGAAAGCAAAAATATATCTTGATCAAAATAAAGCCAGTCGTCAAGCCAGAAAGTTGGTTTTAGATTGCATTTTTTCCTATTTCATCTGGTCTACTCAATTATCTCATTTGGGTGCTTCCAAAAAAACAAACCAACCTTCTTTAAAAAAAAAATAATTCAGTAAGTATAATTTAAAACGTTGGATTCAGAAACGGACATAATGAGAACACTGCTGATATAACCCACTGAAGTATTTTGAGGAACTGGCAATGTGGGTGGTAGAACTCAAGCTCTGATCATAACACAGCTGCTGTCATCCTTAAATAGTATCCTTAACATTCACAGAAACTTTTTAAAAATTAATCAGCTTCTCCCTAAACGAGGTGTTGATAAATACTATCAGTGCTGTATTTTGGATTTCCTCCTATCTCACTACACCAGGATTCGGCATATAACTGCACTCCTCAGAAGAAAAGAAAAAGGAAAACAATGACAGGAATTTTTTTGGATGGGTGCTAGCCCATTTTTAGGCCTGCTTTGCAGGGACTAACAACCTCCTTGTTCTCTATATAGTAGCACTATATAAAGGCCTTCTCCAGTTATTAAATGAGTGTGGCAAGCTACAGTAGACCTGGGAAGAAGAGAAGAATCCAGATTTTAGCACACTTTTTTTTTTTAGTGGATATGATTTCTTTAAATATAAATGCCATTTTATCATGTGTGTGTATCATGTGCCATTTTTATTACTTAGAAAACTTACATTTGTTAAAGATGAAATAGTTCCACTGCATTCCTCGAAGTACATTGTTTTACTTTAAAAATGGCTCTCAAATCAGATTTTTTTTTTTAAATCTAGAGCTTGTAACGAACAATATGCTGTTCTTGCTAAAAGATTTGCTGCTGTTACTGGAGAGAAGAGGGGATTTTGTTTACTGGAAGCAATTCATTTGATTTGAGTTTGGATTTTTTTTCCCCAAATCTCTGAATTACCTCTGAATAGAGCAGGCTGTTTCCTACACTTCCTTTTGCTGTGCTCCAGCAGTTTCTTCTATTTAACAACATGCTATACCCCAAATTTTGGCTCTTTGCTGGACTCCATGTAGCTTTTCCCACATTCAGAATTTGCAGAGCTTTTGCTTCTTGTGCCTGGTGTCAGCTCCTATCAAAAGACAAAGAATAGCTAGGCTAGACATGACACAAAAGAGACAGCCTTAAACGTGAACCTCTAATTGCCATCCCTTTTTCTGCCTCAACTGTGTCTGTGCTTCTGGAAGGTACTGCAACAATTTTTTGATTACTGGTTTGTCCATCAGTGGTGACAAAATTAATACTGCTGCTCTCTGGGCAAAATATTTCAGTTGCTGTGGTGATCACAGGTATTCTTGTGCCATGACCTAATGCTGGCATTTGAGAGATTTAAGTGACCCATGCTCATGGGAGATCCATCGGTTGCCTGTACAGAGCGTACTTGAATGCTTTCCTCTGAGAGCAAGTAAATAATAGCCACAAAGGCAGCAAACTTTTAACTGAATCTAGCCTGATTTCATGGGCATACAAACTCGTGTGCGCAGACCTCCAGTGCTGTGTCTGCATGGGCAGATGCAGGGCAGTACTGTGGAAGTCAGGATTTGACTCTGGGTCTCAGCAGGGGCTGCTGCAGACTTCTCTGAAGGTTTTATTAAATTGCAGCTTGAGTCTAAGGATGTGCTGGGTGTGTAGCTGTGCCCGTATGGAGCTCTAGTGCAAGGCTTCCAGTATTTTTCATCTAATGAGGCTGAGATGACTTAAGCTGTGATAATTACTGGATTGTGATGAGGTGGCTTGTTAAGATGTCTCTTTTCAGTCTTTCTCCAATCTTCTTGGACTTTTTGACAGTTGCGAAGTGAGAAGGAGACGAGGAATAAGTTAATTGAAGCTGACATGAACGGCAAGCCTCAAGGCGGACTCTTCACCAAGTACGTCTCTCCTCTTTGTTGAAAAGAAGCTACACGGAGAGTGATGGGAGACCAGCTTCTTCTGTTAGCAGTCAGCTGGCCTCAGCTGGTTTAAAAAAAGTTCGCTACTGTTCATACTCATTTCATGGTTTCTCTTAAATTTGAGCGCTCTCAAATACAAGTTTAGCTGTTCCTTAACATGCCCGCTGAATGGCAGAACAAGGAGTTGGGCTGGTGCTTGGTCCCCCAGCTTCTGCTCTTGCTGAATATCAATTTGACCTTTGGGCTGGGAACTGCACCTTTGCAGTTGCACAGAGCCAGATGGCCCAGTTCATGGGTTGTGTTGCACTAGGAAAAGAGAGAACACTTTTTTTTTTGATTGAGAAATGCTTGCAAATTTAGGAAATGTGAGACTGTTGTTGAAATCCATGGCAAATGGGCAGTGCTGGAAGTGCTGGGATGTTGATTCTGTAGACAGATTTTGTCCTTTTGCTTGTTCTATATGTAGCAAATCATGTCTATGTGTTCCTGAGAAGAACAACTCAGAAATAACTCGCTTGCCTGGTAGTCCTTAAAATTTCTGTATCTTGCAGCAAAGAGAAGATTCTTTATGAGGAAGACACGCTGAAGTCCATGGAAATGGAGGAAGAGAACAAGGACTCCAGCAGTTCTAGTTCTGAAGAAGAGGAAGAAGCTGAAGAAGATGAAGTTTCAGAATCAGATGCTGAAAAGGAGTCAGGTAAGACTTAGTGCAGTCTTGGATTTAATAATTAGCCTAGCAAAATGAGGGGATCAGTTTGAGAACTGCTTTTTTTTTTTTTTTTTTGCTTAGTTGTTAAAGACATCCTGAAAGTCTTCCTTCCAGTGTATATGAATAGAATATGGAGAACCCTGTAGCTAGTGTACAAAAAAAAGCTGATCTAACTGCTCTAAATGCAGCATAGTTTTTCCAAAAAAAAAAGAGCTACAGATAGTATTTTAATTTCTACTTCCAGCTCACTTGAATTTAAGATAACACAATGTTCATAGGTTGCTCTTAAACAGTAGGGTTTTTTTCTTGTTGACCAGTTTCAGGATGAATACTTCAGTTAATGCAAGATGGTAGAAAAGCAATGGAACATGTGGGAAGGTAATAGCCTGTTGTATTTGGATCAGAGAAATGAAATGAAGGGCTGAAGCTGTTCTGTGTAATTATAGAGATGAGGAACTTATTTCTGACTGTGATGTATAATAATTGCAAAACATAGTGGAAAATAAGGATTAAGTATGTTGAGTCACGTTAGCCTTTACATTAGAGCATATTGCTGGCATCCTACTCCCATTCTTTTTCCATAATTTCTATGGCTTCTTTAATTAGTTTAAACAGCATATACATGCAGCACGGAAAGTTTAAATAAAGATACTTAATTTTACAGTAAGCCAAGACTTACTTGTACTTAGTATTTCTGCAACAGAGATGGATCTTGGACTATGATGTGTTTAATGGTTAAACTACTTTTAACATCAGCTTGCTTGGCCTATATCGCAATATACTAATAAATAAGTCCTTTGCAGAGAAGTGTAACTTAAAGTTTTGTCCTGCTTCTGGTGCCAGTAAAATTGTCACCTGTGTTCTAATTGTATCAATTACGATGTATGTTGCAGTATGAGAGGTGTTGAGAATCCTGGCTGGTTTTGCAGAGCTGGTAGTTACACAAGCTATTTGGGTATGACAGTAACACGGTGAAATAATCTTTTGGCTTTTAAATCAAGCAAGTGAGGTGGAGAAGTCAGTGATAGAAACAGGCGTGCTGTAGAAGTCGCATTTATTTGCTCCATAAATCAGGGTTTTACTAGAGAACAGCCCTGTATAGCTATGTGCTAATTCTTGTAAACATGGTAGGAACTTGACCAAAAGACCTCTAACGTTTGTATAGCTATAAGAAGTGGACCTATGTGATGTTTAACTGATTCAGAAACAGCATAAGATCCTGCAACAATGAAAGTGCTACAGCACTCAGCATTAAATTTTGTGTAAAACCAGAGCAGGTCTTTTTATTGAGTTAATTCACTGAGCAAAGCACATTATACTAATCTGTTTCAAACCACTAAAGCTAAAACAAATAGAAGACAAAAAGCATTCAAGTAATGATTAAGCTTCAGGCTTTGTTACCTGTGCTTTTCTTTCCTAGAGAGATTATTGGTTCCTTTGAGAAATTTCAATCAGAATTGAAACTCTACCTTGGAAACTTCTCAAATCTCTAATAAAATGATCATGAACTTGGCCAGCTGGATGTGGACCTAGTTGTCAGTTGTTGCATATGTGAATGGGGTGCACATTTTTGGTACTCTTTTTAAAACAAGATTAATGAGATAACAACATCAGCCCACATGGTATAGGAGGACTCCAAAGATAAGTAGGGATGAAATTAGCTTTTCATAGAAAATTATAAATGTCACAGTATTACTCGTAGCAAAGACAGTCTTAAGAACAATTATGCTTTATTATCTGCTAGACATTTTAAATGCTTGAATGGATACAGAAGGCATGTTTTTGAAAACATGGAAATTATTTCCTTTTTCCTTTTCATTTTCTTCTCAGATTTAATATTCACATAGCTTTGTAATTCTGAGCAGTGCTGGACGGATAGAAGGTGGCTGTTCTAAAGCGTTCAAAGTCCAGATGAAGGAGAAAAAAAAAAAGCCAAAATATTTTTGAGTGATCTTTTTAAACAAAAAAACTTTAACTCCTTTGATAACTGAGCATAAGGCAGGACAAAGTAGAAGCTGGCAGTATGATACAGAAGTTTATTTTGAGGTGTGTTTTGAAGGGTCTCAGGTTGCGATAAATTTGTTGAATTTGCAGAGACTCTGGGAGGAGAAGAAATTTGAAGAGGTGAGCAGTGAAATTGCTGGAGTGCTTCAGAGAGTACCATGTTTCTTACATTCTGTAAGAAATTTATGTTCTTCAAACAAAGGAAACTAAGTGTATTAATGCCATTTTGTTCATCTTGAGGACAGTTAACAATTTGGCATTGGATTGTATATAAACAAGAGAAAGATCAGTATAAAATTCTATAGTCGTCATCTGTACTGGTAGCTACTATGATACATAATTACTGTGAATTAAAGCAGGCTAGGGAAGCTTTCAATGTTTTGTTTTGTTTTTTTAAAAAAAAGATGTGCACACCCTCCTCTCCCCCAAAAAACCTTTAGAAAAATTATATTCCTACCGAATTAGAGAACTAAATTTTTAGTCTCATCAAATTTGTTTTGAGGAGATTGAACTAATCCTCGCTGCTTTCCTTTGATTGGAATTCATAATGTTTATTGCTGAAATGTTAGTAAAATAAAATGTGGGATCCTCCCCTAAAGACAACGATGCCTATGGTCATGCAGTCTCTCATGCTGCTGGTACAAGGTACTTTTGTCTGTCCTTCTTCTGCAATTGATTCCTTTCAGTCACATTGCTCACAGTTAGAGTTCTTTCCAACCTGTCATTACCACTTAAGCTTGTGTCCTTGTAATTAGGCTTGGCCTTAAAAGCTGACCTCTGTGCTATAAACTTCCAGAACAGCCTAGCCCAGCCTGTAAAGCCTGCTGGCTGTCAGGTCAGGTCTGTTCTGCCCTTCCTGCAATGTCAAGGATTCTCCTGTGTTTTACAGACTTCAGTCTCAAGAAATCAGTAAATGGCAAGCACATAGTGTTTTTGTCCGTATGGATTTCCATGGACTGGTATATACCAAGTCAGGCCTGCAAGGAGAAATGGATAATCCACTGCCCCTTCCTAAAAGGACCATTTGAAAGTGCAATGCATCTGAGTATTAGACTCAAGAAATTAAATACTCTGTTTAGATGACTTGGATGGAAGTTCTGAGGGAACAGAAAGAGAGGGAAAGGTGACTGAGACTTCAATATATGCAGACTTTCCTAGGGGAGATGCATCTTTGTCTCTTTAATTGTGGATCTGTGAGTCCTGCTAACTGCCTGTTATTTTTAAATGTTTCTCTTAGCTTGCTCTTTTCTGTTTTCTGTGTCCTTTGAATCCTATTTTCTAGGAGTGAAAACGTTTGTTTCAGAAAGATTGATCTTCGCACTCCAAGGTGCCATCCTCACAGATGCTCCATACCAAACTGCTTTTTATATGTAATAGAAGATCTTTATTCACTGCACATACCTCATTTGCTAGTACTGTTTGGGTGCTTACACTTCAAATGACTTTGTTTTTTCAAAACCCTGGCTGTGTGAGGCACTCATAGCTGTGAGAGGAAGACATTATTTTGTTGATGTAGGTACATCATTTCTCAGGCACTTTGCATGTGGCTGTGTTTGGTAAATAGTCTGTCTTAGAGCCCTGTGCACTCCTCTGTCAATTGAACCTATTGCCGGAGACATAGTTTCTGCTTACTCTGTTCCTGGTATTGTCTGGTGGATGTTCTTGTGTCAAGCATGGTGCATAGATACAAAAAAAATTTTAATACTGGACAGATGCACTTGTCTAACAAGCAGGGAGCCAGCTGTGAGCTTTGATAGGGTTTGCTTAACTTGCTCTGAGCCCTGTTAAAGATTTTTGTTGGGAATCAGTCCTAGCTTCATGTAGAAAAATGGATTTTGCTGTAGAAGACCAAAAATTCTGCCCACCAGCATAAGCAACTGCAGCAGCACTGTGCAATGAAATCCACCACCAGGCCCACTGGGGGACGTGTGCTATGATGCATACTCATGTACTACAATAGGAATGGCATGTTCTGCTTTTCCCAAGTTTCACAAGGGAAGAACAGTCCCTGAGAGGAAAGAAAATTGTGAATAAACCAAAATTCTCTGTCCTCCTTAAGGTGCTTTCTGCAAAGATTTTGCTTATCTGTGGGGATGAAGTTCAAAAGCTTTGCCTGGCAAATGTATCCATCATATCTTTTAGTAAGTGGAAAGCCTCCTTGCAGGAAGCCCTGATTAACCTTGGCGCTGAACGTCATCTTTATGATCTAAGGCGTACTGAGGTCACAGCAACGCTGAACTTGAGTTTAGTGTGCACTGTGCTTGTAAAGAAGGGCCTTGAAAGTGCAATACTGAAACATTTGGTTTCTCTTCTTGTTTAAAATTATAGAAAGGAAGGAAGAGCCCTTTGCCAACCACTCCAGCCATGAAACCAGGCCCAGCATCACTGAGCAAATACCACCACCTGAGCCCAACTCCTTCACTGCATCTGCCAGAAGAGTAAGTGAATTTGAATCAATGGGGACTCCAACAGTGCGCGAAAGCAGTAGGTTTTGCTGGGAAATGGGTGCTCTGAAACCCATTTTCAGAGGAGTTGTAAGACTTAAATTTAGGAAAGCATGATAGTATGCAATTTTTATAAAGATGCTGTGTTAACAACAGTATAGGACTGGCACAAAGGAAGATGTTTGTACGATAAGGTTCCTCTTGAATCTCTTGCCCTCCAAAGCAAATTGCAGTGTTCACAAGAGAAACCCTGCTTACCGCAAGTGCTTTGTGTCGCTGTCAGTTCTGAGATGGCTGATGCCAATCTCTTGCCAGCAGGAGATCATTCACCAAAACTGGTTCCTG